CTGAAAAGACTTTTTATAGAGTTCAGCTGACCTGCCACTTCAAGTCCTTCGTAGGGCGTGGGGGTCGGGGTGGAGGCGAGAGAGGGGAGGGATGGGGATTCTGAATTCCTGGGTCTGCATCCCCTCAGCATCCGCAACCATCCACCCCAGCAATGAGACGCACCAACTTAAGCCCTCATAAAAACCGTTTGGGGAACTTGTTAAACGGTCAGATCCCAGGCCCCACCCTGCAAGAGAGGCAGATTCAGCAGTCCCGGCAGAGGGATCTGGGAATCCGCGTTTCAAACAAGTGTCCAAGCGATCCTGATGCAGTGTTCATAGACCGCACTTTGAGAAACTCTGCTTGGGTGGAGAATTAATTTGGGGAGGTGGCTTCAGGGGAGAAGGGAGCCCAGGGAGCCTGCACTAAAGAGTTCTGAATGCTTGTTTTGGCAGCAGTCATTTCATTCGTTCACCAAATTCTAGGGTGAGCGCCCCTTATGCAGCTAGGGCTGTCCTGTGCCTAGGAGAATGGCTGTCTCCTCCTTGATGAATATTTACTGAACTCTTGTGCTGTGCCTGATATGGTTTGAGCACTTTGCCTGGGTTTCTGGCTCATTTGATTCTGATACCACGCTAAGAGGATGAGCAAACTGTGGCCTCCCCGGGCCTGGGACTCAGGTCTCTGCCTTCTGCTCCTTTCTATTATAAACTGTGCTTTTTTTGTTTTTTGTTTTGTTTTTTCCTTTTCTCCTTATCTTCCCAGGCCTGTAGGAGGAGGAAAGAGACACTGTGAACTTGGTATAGGAGAGAAGTGGCTATAGGGGACTCTGCGGCAGTCAAAAATCCACCACAGGCAGGGAGGATATAGTTCAGCGGTAGACTGCATGCTTAGCGTGCACAAGGTCCTGGGTTTAAGGTCCTGATTTTGGCCATCTTTGGGTCTTTGATCAAGGGTGCTTCCTTTTAGGTGGTGAAGGACTGGGGCAGGTATGTATGTGGGCCCCTGGGGGAGCAGGCTGTACCTGTGGGTGGGGCTCATAGTCATGGCTGAGGGGTCCAGGTGTCCAGCTCAGAGCAACTCCCCCAGCAGCATGGTAGACTCGCTGAGCTCCTGCAGGTCTTTGGGCAGACGCTGAACCTGCTTACACCTGGCTTCCTACTGTGGCTTGGCCCTCTAAGCTTCCCTTTGCTGCCTACAAGATGGGCTGTGAGTGGTGTAGCATTGCCTAGAAGTGAGACAACTTTGTGGGTTTTTTTTAAATTGAAGTATAATTGATTTATAATGTGTCAGTTTCTGGTGTACAGCATAGTGATTCAGTTATACATATATATTCTTTTTCATATTCTTTATCATTTAGTTTATTACAAGATATTGAATATATTCCCTGTGCTAAACAGTTGGACCTTGTTGTTTATCTATTTTATACATGGTAGTTTTTATCTGCAAATCCCAAACTCCTAGTTTATCCCTCTTCCCCTTTCCCCCCTGGTAACCATATGTTTGTTTCCTATGTCTGTGAGTCTGTTTCTGTTTTGTAAATAAGTTCATTTGTCTCATTCTTTCAGATTATACGTATAAGTGATGTCACATGATATTTGTCTTTCTCTATCTGATGTGCTTCACTCAGTATGATCATTTCTACGTCCATCCATGTTGCTGCAAAAGGCATTATTTCACTCCTTTTATATGTCTGAGTAGTATTCCATTATATATATGTATATATATATGTTAATGAACATTTAGGTTGTTTCCATGTCTTGGCTATTGTAAACAGTGCTGCTATGAACATTGGGGTGCATGTATCTTTTTGAATTAGAATTTCCTCAAGATATATGCCAGGAGTGGGATTTCTGGATCATGTAATCAGTCTATTCTTAATTTTTTAGGGAATCACCATATCTCCATGCTGTTTTCCATAGTGGGAATTGCATTCCCACCAAGGAGGGTTTCCTTTTCTCCACAACCTCTCCAGCATTTATTGTTTGTGGACTTTTTAATGAAGATTAAACCCAGGACCTTGTGCACACTAAGCATGCAATCTACCGCTGAGCTATACCCTCCCCACCTGTAGTGGATTTTTTTACTGCTGCGGAGGGTAGGCACCCATAACCCCTGTGTTGTTCAGGGGTTACCTGTACATGCTTGTTTGAATGCATCAGTGGGTTCTGGTCCGATGTCCTTGGCATTGGAAGGGAACCTCCATGTATTCTGGTCTTGCAAGGAGGGCTTGTCATCATTTCCTAGATGACAGCTTGGGACTCAGAGAGGCTAAGTGACTTGTCCAAAGTATCACAGTGATTAGAGGGAGATGCTGGTCATTGAACCAGGTCTCTCTGAAGCCAAGTCTTTCTTCACTCTCTCAGGTGGGGCAGATGTCCAGTTTCTGACCCCAGGCATTGCTTCACAAAATTCTGTCCCCAGCTTCAGAGCTCAGCAGCCTCCGGATGTGATAGTGCGGTTGATCAGTTTCCCACACAGCTGGCTAGATTCCAGCTACGCCCTTGGGACCACAGAGCCTCGGACTCCCACTTAGGTCTCCTGCTGCCCACACTCCTGCCTTGATCTGCAGCCCAATAAAGGCTGGGCCCCTGGCAGCAGGGCTCAGCATGCTTGGTTCCTCTCCTCTTCTGTTCTCCTCGGTGTCCCCCCAGAGCCCTGTGGCCATGACACAGCTGCTCCTGCTTATTGTGGCTCTCCTGGTCCTGGGTCGTGTTGCTCCAGGTAACATCACCTGTGTGTGTGTGTGTGTGTGTGTGTGTGTGTGTGTGTGTAAATGAGGGGTAGGTTCTGAGCTTCTGGGGGACAGAGGAGGTCTAGACCAGCGTTCTGGCCTCACTACTGGCTTGCTGGGCAGCCTAGAGCAAGTTGCTAAATCAGCCAGCACCTCAGTTTCCTCATCTTTAAAATGAGACTCACTCAACAAATATTCATTAGAAAAATATCTACTGTGTGCCAGGCACTATTACAATTTCTGGGGATCAAACTGTGAAAGCACACAAGGTTCTTGCTTTCATGGAGCTGATATTTCAGTCAGGAGAGACAGAAAATAACCAGATAATCATATGTTAGGTGGAGAGAAGTGTTAGGAAGAATAAAAGCAAGACAAGGGGTTAGTGTGTGTGGTGGGTGATGGGAGAACTGATGGGGGGTTGGTCATTAAAGGCCTCTGATCCTTTTTTAAAAAAAGTTTTTATTTTGGAACATTTCAAATGTACGAGAAAGTAGAGAGAATAATATAAGGAACAAGGCAAGTTAAAATAAACTTTTTGTTAGGGGAAAATTTAGACTTATACAAACAGAGAGAGTAATGTAATGATGTCAGCTTTTAAAGGACCCCTTTTCATTTTAGAAAGGCTCAAACATAAATCAAAAATAGTATTAAAAAAAACTCATGGTGTTCATTACTCAGCTTCAACAGTGACAACTTGAACCAACTCTGTTTTATTACTCACCTGCCCCTCCTCCTCCCCAGTGAACTATTTTGAAGTAAATCTCAAACATTTCATTTACGTGAGGTGTGTTTGAGCAGCGATGTGAATACAGTGAGAATACAGAGGGGCTCACTGCAGGCAGAGGAAGCAGCAAGGCCCAGGGAGGCAGGAGGGTGACAGGTGTGTCTGGGGAGCAGGGAGGAGGCCACGGAGGCTGGAGAGGGAGCCCAAGCACAGTGCCTGATGCGTAGTAATGATAAATGGGAGGCGAGGTTATCAGAAAGAGTGACAGCTTAGAGAGTTGGAGCAATGAGGGCTTCCTTGAAGCCAGCCCTCTCATTTTCCAGATAAAGAAAGGAAGGAACTTGACCAATTTCTCCTAACCAGTAAGTAGTGGTTCTGGAACCAGAACCCAAGACCTTGACTCCAAAGTGATGGCAGTTCCTATAACAATGATTCTTAACACATCATCAGAGCTCACCCTTCTAACAACCCTGAGATGCAGAAGTTGTAATTTTCTTCTACATGATCTGCTGTCACCTCCTCAGATCTTTGACTTCACCTCCCTCCCTTAGTGGCTGTGTGATCTTGGGCAAAGTTGTTAACTTTTCTGTGCCTTGGTTTCCTCGCCCATATACTGGGGTTATAAGCCCAATTAAAATTGTGTACTGTTGTTACGAAAAGCGCTTAGAGTGAATCTAGGGTATGGGTTGGTTCAGTTGGACAAGGAATTAGTCTCTGACTTGTAACCAGTGGTCTAGCTTGTGATGTGTGGGCTAAACTGGACTGAGATCTGTGGTCTGCATTGTAACTGGCTGTCTTATTTATGACTAGTGGTCTAGCCTGTTACCTCTAGTCTAACCCTTGACCTGTGGTCAGAACTCTTGTTCTGTGGCTGAACTTACGACATGAGGGCTGCTCTCTGACTAGAGTTTACTGAACAGATGACTATAGAGCTAGGTGGTGACTTGTGATCTAACCTGGGCCCTGTGACAACTTGTGGTCTGTGGCCTAACCCTTGATCTGTGGTGAAATCTGTGACTAGTAATCTGACCTGCAACCCCTGGGTGGCTCTATGACCCGGGGTCCTCCCCTGTATAGGGAGAAGTGAATTCAAACGGTGCTGGATGGGCCAAGGGGCCTGCCGGCCTTACTGCACGAAGTACGAAACCTACATGCACCTGTGCCCGGATGCCTCCCTCTGCTGCCTCGCCTATGGAATCAAGCCTGTGGCAGCCTCCAAGACTTAAAATGTTTAACTGGTTCTGGGGCTGGCACCCTTGCTCTACAATAAAACACAAGCTGTCAGCTGTCTCCTCTTGTCACTGCTTCACCACCGCCGGGGGTGGGGTGAGGGGTTGGAGAGGGACTGAGTGTGAGAGGGACGGAGGGATGGTTGGTGGAGGGAAGTGAGGTGCCTGAGGAGAGTGGGCATTAATGACCATTGTTAATGGTTCCGGTCCAGTCTGTATCACTTTGATTCTGTCCAACTCTGGAAAAATTACTCAACTTCCGTAAGCCTTTCCAGTCTGCTCATCCATAAAATGGGGATAATTATAATATCAGGAGATTAGGAGTTTATAGGAATGCCAAAAAACAAAACAAAAACAAAAAACAAAACAAAGAGTTAATGGTAAGAGTCAATAGTAATGATAATGAGAGAAAAATAATGAATTAATTATAGTAATAACTAGTAATGATAGAGTTTATAATAAGCTTCTGGCATTCTGAATGAGATGGTGCAGGGTGGGGTAATAGCTCATTTGTAGAGAACATGCTTAGCATGCATGAGTTCCTGGGTTCTATCCCCTGTACCCCCATTAAAAATAAAATAAAAGTAAAAAAGTATAGTTGTGTTAACTAAAAAAAAAAAACAGCATGAGATGGTGCATTTGGCTTGAAAGACAGGGCCTGGTGAGAGTAAAAGGAACTTTTGCAGTTCCTTTATCTTCTATTTTAGTATTTCAAGAGGCTGTCCAGGTGGAAAGGACCAGGAGGACTTTATGAAAGCAAAATTTTCACATAAGCAGGGAGCGGGGATAGAGGAAAAGTTTTCATCTCTTTGGAGCAGGAAACTGTGGGGACAGCAAGGCAGGGAGAAAACGTGAGCAGAGTCTGGGAGACAGACAGACAGACATGTGTTCTAATTACCCTGTATCAAGACTGTGTTTGGCTGTAAAAATAGGAATGTCAACTTTTAGGAGCTTATTTTTCTCACATATAAAGAAATCTAGGAGTAGGCAGCAACCACAACAGGGCAAGCAGCTTCTGGGATCCTCTTGGGTCACAGATGACTTCCCGAACACCCAAGGCACAATGTCATTGTTCAAAGCAGAAGGCAGAGGAGGCTTGTTGTGGGCTGGTCTCTCACTAGTACCAGGAAAGCAAAAACTTTCCCTGGAACCCACCTGAGCAGACTTCTGCTGACTTCTCAGGGGCCAGAGCTGTGTCACATGGCTACTCTTGATGTAAGGGAGGCTGGGAAGAAAGTGTGTAGCTGTCGTAGCCTCTATGGTTGAATTTGGCAGAAGACCCTCAGTGTCTGCTGGAAAACAAGCCACTGGACAACAAGCAGCTAGAAAACAAGCCACACCTAGATTTCCATGAGCTTAAAATATTATATTCAGACTTACTTGCTTAAAATGTACTTAAAATGCACATGCTTGCTTTGTTTTAATGTTCTACACAGCAGATGACCTATAACATGTATCATGCTAAAGAAAATTTGTAAGGAGAAATCCTGAGATTGATCATAAGGGCACGAAGGAGGGCAGATATTTCCTTAGTGTAAAACAATTGTCGGTCCTGAAAAGCCAGATCATCCATTAACAGAACTTTGTTCTGGCATGAAATCATGTGGTTTCATGGGGGGAAATATTTGCTATCTCGAGATGTCCCTGAGGCAATAACAGGATAGACTTAGAAATTTTGCATACTCCCAGGAGGGTGATTGTTCCTGGAAGGGATAGGCCTGAAATTAATCAGTTAACCAGCAAGCAGAACTTAGTGCTTATCGCATGAAATATCTAAAGCCCCACCTCTCTGATCACATTTTTTTTCTGAGCTGTATATTCCTAATAAATATGATGTAGACCAGGTTTTCGGCGCTCTTGATCCATGAGATCTTGAGTCCCCTGGTCCCATCTTTGCTCTTCACTTTATCTCTTTGTTTCTTAAATCTTGTGTTGCCCGTCCTCAGACACGGTCCCGAGCTGCGCTGGACGCAGCAAGTGTTGGTCCATCTTCTCCCTGGGATTGCGCCCAGAAAAGGGCAGGCCTGTTGGATAAATTGAAGGCAAGGTCAAAGGCAGCAGGGCTCTTGCCTACTGTCCTCTGAGTTTTTGGAGAAGGTCAGTGTAGCCTTGGAATAAGAGAATGGACCTTGCGTGGACAGGCTGAGAAAGGAGCAGTGAAGGTCAAAATGCTTACCCTGTGAAGGGAGGCTGATCCTGGGCTGGAGTGCAGTCCTGGAAGCGACCTGCTGTGCCAAGCATTAAACCTTTAGTTCCTGGCACGAGAGGGATCTGGGGATAGGCCTGCCCAAGGCGGCTGGGCCAGCGAGGAGGAGGAGAGCCCAGGGGCTGGGGCAGCAGCTTTTACCAACCAGGAAGGAAGCATTGTATTATTTAATAACAAAGCATACCATAGGAGAATCAGTCCTGCCTGAGTTTCTGTGGTCTAGATGTTGAACTGATTGCCAGTGGGCCTGTTTTAGGACCCAAAGTGGTGGGGCTGAGGTGGGCTTGGTGTCTGGAGCCTAGAAAGAGGACAAAAATCCCAGACACGGCCATAGAACCACGGAGAGCCGACAGGAAGTGACATGGCAGCCCTGTATCCCACGAGGCCTCAGTGAGTCTGAGGGAGGCCGGACCAGTTCACCAGCAGCTTGGCCTTAGCTGGAAGCAGTGGTTGTTCTCAAGGATAGTCCCAAGCTACCCAGACCCCTGCAGATGCCAGCCAGCCCCAGGCCACTGAACTGCCTCGCTCTTCCCCCAGCCGCCGCCATATCTGGGAGGAGCAGGGAGAGGAGTAATGATGCCAAAGAGACCAAGTCCCTCAGAATTCGAGAAACCTCAAGAGACTCTTTAAATTGTTGAATTAAACTGGATTGAACTAAATTTAGTTTTATGCTCAGACCCCTCCCCCCCTCAGCTGTTTCACAAAGAATGAAGAAAGTGTGCTTTCTTTGCATGCTCTCAGACCTAGTTCAGGGGAATTTGTTATCTTTTAGCCGAGAAGATGGGGATGATTTCCGGAACTGAGGAGTCAGACAGACGCAAGTTCACACTCTGCCGCGTACAGGCCACAGGCCGGGTGACCGGGGCAAGTCACTTCCCCTATCTGTCGTCGTCTGCAAAATGGGCATAGTGACAGCTCTTTACGGGGTGGCTGTGGGCTCAGATGGGAACATCTGGCCCTTTATCAGGGGTGACTAAATGAAATGAAATGAAAGTGACTGCAAACGCTAGCACTTCTGCTGAGGCTTCTCCACGGAGTTTCAGACATTCTGAAAATCTACAAGAATAGTACAAAGAATTCCCAGAGATCTTTCACCCAGTTTTCCCAAATATTAACATTTTACCACTTTAACCTTATCATTTCCTCTCTCTCTCTCTATACACACACACACACACAATTATATATAAATGTAGATATGTGTGTATATATATAGCAGATATGATACTTTTTTAATGCCCAAGTATTTTACTGGAGCAGAGTAGGGTATAGCTCAGTGGTAGAGTGCATATTTAGTACGCATGAGGTCCTGGGTTCAACCCCTACTACCTCCTTTAAAAAAACAAAAAAAATTGGGGGGAGGGTATAGCTCAGTGGTAGAGTGCCTGCTTAGCATGCTCGAGGTCCTGGGTTCAATCCCCGATACTTCCACTAAGAAATAATAAAATAAATAAACCTAATTACCTTCCCCTCACAAAAAATAATAAAAAATTAAACAAACAAACAAAATAAACCTAATGCCTACCTCCCCCCCCAAAACCCCAAACAAACAAAAATTTCACTGGATTTTTCCAAAAAACCAAAGGCATTTTCTGAGGTAACTATAGTACATTTATAAAAATCAAGACATTACTTTGACAAAATTCTATTGTCTAATCTTCAGATTAGCTAAAGGAAATCGTTGGATCACACAATACATTCAGTTGTCATGCTTCTTTCATTTCCTTTCAACTGGAGCAGTTCTTTCCGTCTTCCATGGCATTGACGGTTTTTAGGTGACCAGGCTGGCTGCTCTGTGGACTCTCAGTTTGTCTGGCGTTTCTTCATGATTAGCTCCAGTTTTTGGTCGGAATTCTACAGAAGTGATGCCGTGTTTCTCTCGGCGCATCATGTCAGAGGCAGCCGTTGTCCTTCTGAGGGCGCAAACAAGACAAAACAGATGAGGTGGTTTTCTGAAGCTTAAACCTCACATGCGCAGGGCTGTTTCCCACTCACAGTCCTAACGACCCTCAGCTAAGCATACATCCAACCTCTTAAATCCTGAAGATGCACCTAACAAACCAAGGAGACAAGATAATTCTAGGATAGAAGATTCCCCAAGATACTTTACAGATGGGGCTTCTAAGTCCAGAGAGGGAAAGTGACTTGTCCAAGGCCACACAGCTCCCACAGCACAGAGCCAGGACTTAGGCTTAAATCTTCAGCCCTCAAGTCAAGGCTATTTCCAAAGCAGAGCAAGAGCCACATGTTGGTAGGACAGGTCAGTTTGAAGGGGAAGCTTTGGGAGGAAGGGAGCTCCCCAGCCCTTGAGGAGGGCGGGGCAAGTCAAGGGGGCGAGGGATGCTAGAGAAGGAATTTTCGCTCTGCATTGGTGCTCGGAAGTACTACTCAGAACACGGGCATTTCCCCAGAGAGTCACCGAATGGCTGAGCTGATGATGATAATCGTATCAGCCTTTAGTAAGTGCCAAATGCTTTCCATAGGTCATCTCTCTTCATTCTGTCAGTCATATGGTATTATTATCCCCCCTTTTTCTAGAAGGCAACTAAAGGTCTTCGTTAAGCAGCTTGCCCAGGCCATACACCCAGTAAGTGGTGGAGCCAGGACTCCACCTCATCCTCTGGCACTTGATTTTGTCTTCCACACTCATCCCTCTTATACTTTTAAAATAACATTTTTTCCCCTAATTATAAAAGTAATACATGCTTGGAGAAAACTTGGAAAACAGAGCAGCACAAACAAGAAAGAAAGCAGAAGTCATCATTATTTTCACTGTACATGAATACCCACAAATTAAAAAAAATATGTAAAATATGACTTACAAATAAAATGGAATCAAACTATACATATTTTTGTGTATGTCCTGGTTTGTTTGTTTTTTTTAACATGTCAATATTTCATGAATATTTCCATATGTGCTTAGTCTCCCAAAACAACATTTTTAGCACTGGGATGCCTCCTGAAATTTCTTTAAAAATTTCTAATTTTTATAACTTGAGTAGTATACTTAGAACACATTGTGGGAAAATAAAAATAGATGAGCTTCAAAATATTCACCACGCTTTTCATAATCCCTGCTAGCTCTTGTTACATA